TGTCATTCGTGCCTGTCCTGCAAAAATGGCTGACTCACGATATGCCACAGCACACCCGGCCAGCCGCGAGGCTGCGCTCGAAGCCACACGTGAGGCTAACAAAGAAGCATGGTTGCTCCTTCACAATCGCATTTTGTATGCATTGGCCATGCGCAATGAAGGTGAGAATCAGGCTGCTCAGGACCTTGTGGATGGTTTGATGACCGAATGGACGCCGGCTTCGGCCCTGAGGTTCTATGGTCGAGAGGATCCGCTTGCAGAATACCTTAGTTTCTGCTTTTTGCCAAAGGAGTCCCACATCGAAAAGATCATGCTGCCAGAGATGCCCGTCAATGACGTAATCTGGATCTTAGTCTCTGACTCGTCATGTGCATTGATCACAGGGCGTAGGAAGACACTTAAGAAGTTTGATCTTTCCGAGCACTACCGACAGCGCAAACCCAAGTACGTGACTGAGTTCATCCACGAGATGCTTTGGGGCAAAACTTTGCAGAGGTTGGTAAAGAGAGGGATCGAATTGGCCGCGGACGCCCGCGAGCGCTATCCTCATGCACGCATCAACCTGCACTTGTCCTGGTTCGGAAATGAATTGGTAGGGGAGGATGGAATTGCCCAAAATCCAAATTGGCCGTACGATGGTCCCAACGGGCACTGGCCCACGATCCTGGATGATTGTGAGCGCCACTTGACATGGTTCATCAACAAGGCCCGGGAGTTGGACTTGCAGACGGCCGGTCTCACGACCGCGCCCTGGAGCGCAGATTACGGCATTCATCCAATTTTCGATCAATTTTTCGACCATTTGGAGCCCCGATTCAAAGCTCTAACCAGCAGCCTGCAAGGGCGTGCCAATCCGCGGTATCCGTGGCTAAAAGCAAAGGGGTACGCCGATGCAATGGAATTCAGAGACCAGTGGCATTTCGCTAACTCTGAGGAAAATCGCACGCGCCTTGCTGCCTATTGGACAGCTACCCTTTTCGCACTTGATTCCGGATGGCGGGTCGGCCAAATTGGTTTGGAGCTTTCTGAGTGTGCCCAGGAGACATGGGATGATTTGCGGAGGAAGATGAGCGCCGTCCTGGACGAGCTGCCAAGATCCTATCAGGAGACATGTGCAAACATCACCAAGTTGCTTTTTGGAGAGTCCCGAAGACACATCGTGCCGACGGGCAGGTCATTCACCAAGGAGGACGTCGAAGCTCAACAACCTGACACTGAGGACTACATCGACATCAAGACGTTGCCTTCGGGCACGTTTGCTGAGCCTCCCAAAGATGACCCTCCAAAGGCCGCCGGCGACGGCGAGCCCGCTGCATCCAGCAGAGCAACAATCCTGGTCCAGACAGCTGAGGTCATGTTGAAGTCGCGGCCGAAAGCAGCACCAGCATCAATGGATGAGCCCGCAGATGACAAGGGAGCCACATCCAGCCAGTACCAGCCGCAGGCAACTGCGCGCTTCGAGGGACAAGCATCTGGCCACGTGAAAGCATATTGGATGGAAGAGCATTTGCCTGAATACCAATATACAATGGTGACCAATGCAGACGGGGACGATGTGCCTGGCATCCTCTTTGAAGGTACGGCTTATGAGCTGGAGCTGATATCGGCATCCGACGTTGAGACCATTGCCAGCCAGACTCGCGTCGACAAGAAGTTTTCTGATTTTGCGACTCGTGTCAACAAAGTTTGCAGGGGGCATGGATCCTGTGCCAAGGTGCCAATGGACAAAGACCTTTGGATTGACTTGGAGGATTTCGCCAAAGCCTTCCGCAAGGAAGTGCCCCCAGATGTTTTCATCACTGTTGCAAACCTGTTTGGCACCGCAATGAAGATCGACAAGCATGGCAAGAGTAGGTTCCAATTCTTGTGTGCAAAGATTTCCCATTTTCCTGTCGACAATGGCCTAGGCATGCCGTATTATCCTGTGAAAATCCGTGCAATTCAGGGTCACTCCGAAGCTGCCTTGAAAACCGCAGGGGGTCTTTATGCCAATTCAACCATGGTGTATTGCTCAGACCATGTATCCCCCGAGCGAAAAGCCGCCTTCACTGGCGTGCCCCTGTGTGCCATGACTGAGGTTCCTGAGGTTGTCTTCCATCGCACGATGAAAAGCAGCTGGAAGAGCATCGCACAGAACGGCCTGATCCCAGGCGGCGGTGCAACAGTCAACAGTGGCCGTGCCCATATCTATATGGCAGAACACTGTATTGGCACGCAGGGGTATCGATCTGGATTAAGAGCAAAATGTCCAATCGAAGTCAAAATCGCAATGCGGCAAGCAGTTGAAGCTGGTGTCATCTTTAGTCGCACAGAAATGGATGGGATTTTGTGCTCAGAACGCATCCCACCGCAGTTTCTGGTCAGCATCTCAGAAGAAGGACAGGTGCTTTGGTCCCGCGCCGAGAGCAATCTCGAGCCCAGCACATGGACTGGCGCGGCGTCTGCCTCAGCACCGAAAGCCAAAGCGGTCACCTTGACTGCCCGAGATGATGCAAATGACGACCCAATGGATGACACCAGCACGGGGCGACCCGATGCCAAGTCCACTGATGATGATGCAGCCACTGCCTCAATGCAAGTTGACCAGCCGCCCGCAAGGACGGGCCGTGTTTACATTGCACCCAAGTACTGCGAACCTTTCATGGGCTCCTGTCCCCTCTGCCAGGTTGAGTACGTCAGTGGCCAAGTGACATGCACCACATGTGGTTTTGAGCCACTCCCAGTGGACGAAAGTGGCGATACAAAAGAGGCCAACAAACCCAACAGGAGGACCCGCATCCTTGAACGGCGAATGCAAAGTCTCGCCGGGTTCGGAATGTTTGGGAAGATGAGCGGAAGCTTGCTGACAGCCTTGACGGAAGAGCAAGCCAACCTGCTACGCCGAGAACTGGGCCCCAGGGGAATCACATCCGTGGAATCAGCAGTCCTCAAAGACTGCCGCGACAGGCATCGACGTGCAAAAGCGCTGGGCTACGAGGACGTGGAAGATAGATACTCCAGCGACGTCACTTTTTGCGACCGCATCCACGGTGAGGGGAAGGACCTGCAGGACTGCATATTTGACGATATGTTCGCATATGGCAACCTCCCCGATCCCCCAAGGACCAAAGCTCAGATCTCGGCTGGCGTCGCCGCCAATGCCCAAAATGAGAACTGCTTATCTAAGTTGATTTTCATGTCTCAGCCTCGTGGCGTTGATGGCTTCCCAGTTGAGTTCCGCAAAACATGGAAGAAGGTCTGGGGTTTCATGTTTGGCCGCCACATTTTTACAGAGGATGAATATGTCAGCTACATCGGCCGTCGTGGCGCATTCCGTGGCCTGTTGACCTGGAAGGGTACTGTCCAAGTCCCTCTTGATGGCACTCGTGATTTCCTCGAAAAGGTGTATGAGGAAAACCTTCCCTTGGTTCGGAGCAATCTTGAACGCAAAGAGAAGCAGAGCGCCGCTGCAAAGGCTGGAGGTCCTGGAGGTCATAAGGCCGACCCCACGGTCGCGCCCACCATTGAGCGAAAGCGCAAAGCCGAAGCTGATGCATCCGCAACCGCAACAGATGTCACAGCCGCCTCAAGCTCTGCTCGCGCAGATGCCTCGCACGCTGATGCCCCAGCCGCACCATTTCTGGTACCCGAACCACCAACATCCAAAGCAGGAGCACGACCATTCTTGGAGCCTGAGACACCGCCCACTGCAAAAGCAGCAACCGCAGGAGTCACTTCGAAGGCTGCAAGCTCCGGTCGCCCGGATGCCTCTTGGAGTTGGAATCGTGATCACTATGGTGCACGCCGAGAATGGAGTTTCTGGCGTGGAGCTTGGTATTACCGTGACGAGGCCGGCGGCCGTTGGATCTTTTGGAACCGTTAGGGAGACGATGATTTTCTTTTGTAGCATAGCGCAAGATGTGGCATGGTAATGTGCCTTCCTTGCAACGCTGCGCTGGGTTTTACGGGCTTGAGCTTTTTAGAGGGACCTTTGAAAGACTGCACAAAAATGTCTAAAACCAACTAAAGAAATTCGGCTACCCGCGAGGGTATGCTTTTCTGGGTTATTCGTTCTCCGCAGTCGTCCCTGCTCGCCCGAGGGGGGTGTAAAAACTCCTGCAGTAAAACCATGTATTGTATATATCATCGATCTGCCCGATAGCGTTGGTTCAAAAGTACCAGGAGCTGAGCGGTTTGTAGGTTCACCCCATTAGTGTTGTAATACCTAATTGGTGGCTGACCTGTGAATATACATATATATATATATATGTGGCACATTGCAAAAAGATAGACAGTGTTTCCAGGATGGTAGTTCGATGATGTTTTCCCCATCATTTCGAGATGTTCTATTTTCCTATCGTCCTTTTGGAGGTTGCTATAATGGGGATATTTGTGGCATATAATGGGTATAATGAGGTACATGGAATAGTACCTTGACCTGATATGTTGTCAACCTTGCGTTTAATTGGGGATTTAGCCATGTGTTGGATGATGACTATGACCATTTTATGGGATATGCTGGGGATATTCCCTCTGGCAATTTCACATTGCTAAGGAAAATTGATAAATGGCTTATTTATAAATGATTTACCTATCAGAAATGGTGATTTTCCATTACAATGTTCGCAAAAACTGGAGGCTGATTTTAGTCATGTACCAGGATGATGGTTCACAGCGGCGCCTGATTTGTTTCCGGTACTTACCGGGTTCCCAGTATGGCAAATGGTCCCATGTTCCAATGCATTCAATCCATGGAGAAGTATTCCTTCCTGAACCAGACAGAGTCACAAAAAGACCTGGCAGAGCGCAGAGAATCCCTTGAAACCTAATCTTATATAGTAACCAGACTTTGGGTTTGAAACCATATTATACTAAACTATAACCATACTAACTATATATATTTTTTTTTATAATATACTAACTAATTAATAATATACTACCTCTACTATGACCGGCTACTTATGTTGTGAAAGCTGCATTTATCTTTGAACACCGCAGATGCTGCGCACGCACCTGGTGAGGCCTTGGTATTGCCGCCAAAAAGCAACCTGGGGAGGCTGAATCGGCCTTCTTTGCTTTCTATCCGATGTACACGATGTAATTACATGGATTCAAAATAAATGAATATTAATATGAATTGTATACTAGAAAAACCATCATGACATCATGATAGAAATTCATGATAAGGATACCATGAATGAGACATTAATTATATACTGAGTACTGTGTCTCAACATCTTGGTGAATTTTGTTGACAGGTGGTTGATTTTGTGGTGCTTGCTCCTCTCATATATGTCAATCCTCCGTGCCGAGACTGTGGCTAACTTCCGCCGTTCCATCTGTTAGAAAAGTTCCAGCTGGACGTGCTCCAGTCCAAGCGCGTAATCTGAATATTGCGAGCATATAAAACAAAGCAAGCCCACAGAAGATAGAAACATTCCATCAAATTCCTACTTCAGTTAAATCTAAAGTATTTGGGCATCCCCCAAAAAAGCGACTCATCATTCTACATCAAGTCGTGGTTTCTGTCGCGACGCGCCAGGAAGGGGACGACCTGGAACGGCACTTCATCACCGAGTGCGCCCAGTGGGTGCTGAAGATGATCACCGTCCGAAGTCAGTTCTTCTTGATGTTATTCATGATATACATCCCAGCTATAGGGTAAGTAGGGGTTATCCAGTTTGTGAATGGGGCTGAGCCGAGTGTCATATCCGTTCGTATCCCAAGGCAGGTAGGGTGAACCCAATGAACCCAGGGAATAAAGGCCATGTAAAACTGTTTGGTGGTTTGGAACATTTTTTATTTTTCCATGTATTGGGAATTTCATCATCCCAACTGACTAATATTTTTCAGAGGGGTTGAAACCACCAATCAGTTATTTTTTTTTTTGCCAGATGTTCAACATGTTTGTGGCCTTTCCCTTTGGGGTTTTAGTCAAGATAAGGAAAGCAAGGTCCATATTGTGGAGGCGTTACCATGTCAATGGTTCATTTGGAGAAGCTGGATCATCGAAACAGCTTCCGACAACAGACCCCAAATCATCCAATGTTCAATGTCCCATGTCACGGAGGCATGGTTTAATGGCAGTTGCAGACTTTTTGACCAGCTACCTCCCGGAGAACGACCAGCTACATCTCTCACGACGCTTTGTGGAGGTTGGAATGTGCCCATGGGATTCCATGTTTTTATTGGGCGAACTGATGATGTTCAGGGTTTTGACTCACCCATTTATGGAATCATCATGAAGCGTCCCAAATTGGGGATCGCATGTCTTTCAGGTGCTCCTCAACTATTCTGCTTGGGCCTTCAACGGGGTTAGGGCATCAATAAGAAAATCAATGCAGCTGATGGTCTTGGGAGACTTCCCGATATTATTTGGGTAACGGTAACAGCCCCTTTTTGTATATTCGTTCCCTGAATATCGAATACCCCAGTACTTCTGGAGTTAGTGAAGTTAGTGAACTGGTTGTGAATGGGTATCTCCCTCGGAACTGGGATGTTGATGCACTGACCAACCAGTTGACTCCATGACCGATCTAAGTTAACCCCAAAATTTATAGATCCAACGCTAACTCCATGGTTTCTGTAGGGATTGTCATAGATTGCTTTTTATTTTGTTTGGAGTTTAGGGATTGCAATTCCATTTCGATCAATTTGGTTTGTCAGGGTCATTCTGACTTGCTGACATCCATTATTTCATGGGATTTTGGGTGTTCAATGCCCTTTTGCTTCCCCTTGTTGGTTGATTTGAATCCTCTTTCTGGTTTGAAATCCTCATGTTGGTTGCGAAAAAAACACCCCATCTTGATTGGCTAAAGCTCATTTAAGCATACAACTTCTGGAACCCCAAGGGCACTTGTCTAGACGTTTCAGGCTAAGAACTTGAGAATATCGTTTCATCTTAGTTGATTCAAGTGCTTAATTTGAGTTTGTCGGAAAACAGGGTGCCTCGAAATCTCATGGTTCATCATCATTTTTCTGTCGAAACAAACGGCAATTTTTGCTGACGTCCCGTTTTCAGACATATTTGAGTTGTTTGAAAATGATATGATAAAACCGCTAGAAGACCATCTGAGAGCCACATAGTCAATCAAATTCAAATCTTTGAAAGATCAGAACCCCCCAAGGTCTTCCCAGTATTTGGCTCCCAAAAAAATCATAAAGAATCTCTAGGCCCTGTGGCTGCGCACCGACGCCTTTCGCCGCTGGTCCGCCTTGGCGGACTTGTGTCTACTGGGTGAAGGGCAGGGCGCAGCCAGGGGGGTGCCATGCAACTTGGCGCGCCGGGTGAGGCCAAGGGGGTCGACCAGTTTCGGTAACCGCCAAGGCTAGTCGGACAGGGAATTGACTGCCACCATACTGCCACCAAAACCAAGGGATCATAATGGAAAATGGGGCTTTTGAAACAAAGCCAATGGATTCCACCAGCTAAAAAGCAGCATTCAACCAGCAAATTTAAGAGTTTTACTAAAGCAAAAATGGTACAAGACAAGAATTACCAAGCAAAAGGTCTGGTTTCATCGCACTTAAGCTTACCTGCTTTTAAGATAGTCAAATATTTTTGGTGGTCTTCACTATTTGTGATTTCCATTGTGCCCCAATTATTTGTGAATGTGGCTATCTTACTGGTGTTTAATAAGGAGAATGAAATCCTGGGATTCTACTGGGTTCAACAGACTTCATTGGTGTACCCCCATGTGGGAATTCACCCATGGGGTCCATTGAGCATTTTATAATTGGGGTGTGAAAATAATCTGATGTTTGAATATGTGATTAATCTAATTATTATCTTAATGTGGCGTGGCACCCCCCTCGCTGCCCTGCGGCCGCCACATCCTGCTCTGCGCCAGTCCCGCTGGGAGCCTCAGCTGATGTTGGCTGGGGTCTGCGGCTTAGGTAATCAGGTGAGATCACCAAACCACTTGATTAAACAGCGGGTTGACATTCGATTTTTTCCCGTCAAGGTCGAAGCTCAGCACATGCCATTTTATGGCAATTTCAATTTTGTTTTGGCATTTTCCTGCCACTTCATGCACTTGTTCAGCTGTTCTACTATTCTACTGGACACTGAAAGTGGCCAAGCATTCCCAAGAGCCAGCCCCATCTCACGGACGCTGAGATCATCAGCTTGCATACGCTTTGGGTCCCAACCCTGCACCCTGCATTTCTCCTGATGGACCAGAACCAAAGTAAAATATGATCATGTAACTATAATGTAATGGGTTTATAAATACCATAATAATTGGGTAACATAGTGATATAGACACAAAAAAACAGTAAGGGGTTAAGCGGCAAAGGCCAAAATCCAGTCCTGCAGGTTCATGAATCGGCGGTGCGAAGTAACCCAAAAGCTTTCGGAACACCCTCCTCTTGCCCTTGTTAAGCACGGGCTCCTAAGTAGCAAGAAACCATTGAGGGACCTTGACATGTGTTTTCAAGTCAAAACCAAAAAAACTGATGGACATTCAAGTTTGAAGCGGGTATATGCATTCAACCAAGATGCTTGTCTTTGCTGGGTTTCCCTTGAAATTTTTTGGAGGCCGCGCAGTCAATCACCCTTAGATGACACACTCAATCTTCAATTTCACATCGAAAAAGCTGACCACACATTATGAACACTAAGACTTAGGTTTGAGTGCCAAAATATTACCAAGAAACCAACAGTCATCCAAAGATTCACCCTGGTTAGTCACCCACTTCAGCGCTGTTCGCAGTCGCTTCTTCCCGGTTGAAGACTTTGGGAACTCATAGTCTTGGGCTTTCCTGTCCAGCACACAAGGGATATTATAATGGTAAATAGTTTGGGGCCCAACGATTAATGAGTTAACTATCTCCCAAAAAATGGAATTCCTTTTTCAACCTCATTTTGGGTACCCTTGCCTCCCAAGCATCTTGCACAGCTTGATCTTCTTCAGGTTCTTCAAAGGTTTTGGCCAGGAGAATTGCCCTGAGGTTGGCTGTTGGTGGTGAGAAACAATATGCAAGTGATTATAGGACCCAAGGTGCGTATTTATTGGACCGCAGAGCTGTAGGTTACCCACCCTAGTTGGACCAAGGCTCCCTTCATCGCATAGCTATTGACTCCGACGATCCAGAGGCGCTCACGTCGCTGAGGGAGCGCGCCGTGGGTGAAGGCATCCAGAACCTGCCAAGTAAGAAAATATAAGCTGTTTGATACTATATATTATTTTGAAGTCAAGATTGAAAATGGGATATGTAGATTCCTGCACTTCGTCAACTTCACTATTAGTAGTCTGAGTGCATATGTTTTTTTAAATTCATCATTTTGATTTGGTCAAAACAACCTCTGTAGGCCCATGTGCGCCTTCCAGTAGACCTTATAGTGTCCTTTGGACTTGAGCCTGGGGTCAGTCAACATGTTTGGACGTGATTGGGCACATTCAATTTAATGATAGGAACTTATGTCAATTATGAGTGTCAAGGAGCTTTGCGAGAAGCTTCTTGAAGAATTTGGCATGCTTCTTGTTGGTCAAGGACTTGCTGTTCTCTAACACAAACGTATCCGGTAGCCAGGCTTGTATGCGCTTTACCACCTAGGATGGCAACTTTGGGGCTCAGATCCAGTTGTGGGATGAAGAAACGATTAAATTGGCTATGATCACTTTGGGATATTGAAAATTGAAAACAAAGGCACTCTTTCGAACACTTTGGCCCTTGGGTCCTTCTTCCCCTTTCGCTTCCCGATGGGGGAAAAAGGCTGGCACGGGCAGCCAGCACCAAAGATGTCAATCAGCTGACGGATTCCTCAGATACAGTGAGGGGTCTGGCAGCAACATAATTTAATCAGGTTTGACGATCTTGTTTCCCGACATGAATCCAAATTAAACGAAACACCAAATGGACAGGATACCTTTTTTTTTCATAGCATCTTTCGAAACCAACTCCGGCTTGTAGATCTTTTTCAACCGCTCTAGGAGCTTTGGGTCGCTCTCCGAGACGTAGTATACATGACTTTGTAGGCCTGCAAGCCTTAGTAGATTTTCTACAATTTATGTTGCCATATCATAGTAGGCAGATAGGCGTGTCAGGGTAAAGTGCAAGTAATTGAATAGAAGGTCGAATGCAACAAATCAGTCAGGTAGCTTGCAACTTTCTTTCAGCGGCCCCAGTCCCGCACAGTCTTCTGCCAACACAAGATTTCTTTTAGGCATTGCGCCCAGTCTATCACTGAGCCAAATACTGACAAACATGCTTTGATGTTGAGTGGCCTTGAGAGTCTTAGTGCGGCAATTTGCAATTTGTAATTTAAAACCAGAACAGGCTGGGTTTTTCCCTTTTTGGTTCCCGCAGCAAGCCGTGTCCAGCGTAGGTCTTGGTATGTCCAGTCCTTTTACATCTAAGCTCACATCAGGCCATCAAGCCTTCACTTCATCAAGCCTTCAAGTTTTTTGAGCACTGCATTGGCCTTCTTCGCTCCTGCCTTGGTACCAGCTATTAATAATTGAAATTCAAATGGAAAGTGAAAAGAAACAATACAAGGAACATTTTCAATTGGGTCACTTTATAAAACCCGGCCTTTGGGCGTCCTGCTGCCTTTGCTTTTCCTTTCGCCTTTGGCTTTGCCTTAGCCTTGCCTCCCCCTTTGCCCTTTCCCTTTGCCTTTGCCTTAGGTGCCTGCTTGGGCTTGGGCTTTGCCTTTGCCTTGCTTGCTCCCTTTCGTGCCTTGCCCCGGGGTTCCTCCTCATCATTATCTTCATCCTCCTCATCCTCACCTTCCTCTTCCCCATCCTTTTCAGATCCTTCCTCCTCTTGGCTCTCCTGCGCATCGTCATCCTCATTCTCTGATCCTGGCTCCTCCTCAGAACCTTCCTTCATATCATCATCTTCCTCTGGTTCCTCCTCTTCATCCCCCCCACTTTCCTCTTCCTCCGGTTCCTCATCTGCATCATCATCCTGATCATCATCCTCTTTGTTTGCTTTTGACTTTGCTTTGGCCTTCGTTGCAATTATCATACATTAAACATTTTAAACAATGGGGAAATTAAAACAAAAACGCGCAGAGTAACATAACCTCGCCTTGGCTTTGCTTTGAGGTCTTTTTTTCATTTTCAACAGTGCTGCCAGTCCCGGTTCGTACAGGGGCGAGTCTGGAAGCTGCATGGCGCGAAACACCTGGCTCTCCAGCCTCTTCAAGAGGAAGTCCGCCTCAATTGCCCAATGATGGCATATGATTAGTACTACCTGGTTTCATATGTCTTGTTTGACTAAGCATGTCTTGCTTGACTAAGCTGACTCACTGAACAATTATATCCAAGAAACATGCTCAGAGGTGTGTACCACCCCCACAAACGGGATGCGCTTCGCAATTGCAGTAAACGCGGTTTTTCCGTCACCTGATGTGGCGGTGGGGCAATAGCAAAATGAGACTTTGTGCAGGCTAAATTTAAATTTCACATTTTACATCTCAAAGCCAAGATACCACAGCTCAGATCCAACATGTAGCCGATGTTGAGTTCTTCAAAGATTTCTTCAACCTGACTAAGAGTGTAGCGACTTGTTAATCATGATAGCCTGTAATACCCGATTGTCATTAAGAACCTGTACCCCATGGCCCGAAATAGACAGACAATATAGAATGAAGTTGTCTGTTCATAATCAAGCCAGGCAACGGCCTGGGATGGAAGACTGTGGTAATAAACCGGTTCTTCATCAGTATCCTTTCTCCTGCCTTAGTTTGATGCTTGAAGTTGATAGAAGGTTTGAAAATCGATTCACTTGACGACTAGAATACTCGGCTTTTTAAGCTAGAATACTCGTCTTGCTCTCCGGTGGTTGTGGTTCCCCTTTTGAGCCAACTTTGATGAAACCCGCAGGCCCAAAGAGCAGCTTCTTCTTGGCCAGAGTCATTCGCCAAGTCTCGGCCTCGTCCTTAGCTGGGATTGGCAAGAATTAGAGGTGGCGATGTTGATATGTTGGATGGTTGGAACCTGGAATGATGATAGTTGGGGTGATGTTGGGGTGATGATCCAATGGTCTTTCCCACAAAACGACAACAAAGTAGACACCTTAAAATTTTGGTGAGGAAATCATCCAAAGTTCAGTCCAGCTTGGAGCCTTAACAGGATATATGGTGTCACCTCGATTGGTACCTGTATAGATTGCCCGATCGTGGAAACTGAAATTCTGTTCCTCTGGAAGGATCACCTGCAGCCGTTCGATCTGTGTCAATTGGGCTCCCTTGTCCCTGGTCTTGCGAGCACGTAGCGACTGTTCACTCCAAAGAAGGTATTTCGTGATCTTGGGCTTGGGTAGACTGGCATTTGTAGGAGTTTTCAGTGCAGACATCAGACTCGACCACAAGCCTTAGTGAGAAATTTCAGTACTGTTTTTTACCCCAAATAAATACATGTTTTTGCAACCCCATTTGATTCCATATCTCTGATGATACTCTTGATTGAATGTTTCAAGGAACCTTCCCTTCCTCCATCTTGAATCACAATGCCATCGCCTTCATGAAGCGACTTGTCCTCTTCATTCCAACGCAAGGCGATTGCCGCCGAAAAGAGGCGATTGTGGCGCCCCTCACGGAGCGGAGGCATGCGAACTGCTGGCTGAGTAGCAGCCTCTCCCACGGTTTTTGTGTCCTGAGTTTTCCGATGGGATTCATTGTGAAACATTTTGCTTTTGGAAGTAAGCTACCGGATCCCTGGGTGCAACCAGGGCTCCAGGTAAATGGCCACCAGTTTCGTGATCTGCCTCCTTAGCTGGGAGTCAGTGGGGCATATCACACATCATGCGTTTTTTTTAACCGGGGGCAGGACAGGAGTTATGGGTGATCTCTAGGAATAAAGGGGACCTGTCTAATACATACCTCTAAAGAAAGGTTGTGGGGAATAATTCAACAACATTTGGGCGCCAAAAGGAATTGTCGGGGCACATGGAATGCCTATAATAAGAAGGTGAGCCTAGTATCGTTTCAGCATCCACCTGCCCTCTCCATTCACCAAAAGCCGTGGCTGCGAAAGCTTGTTGCATTTTGGTGGTGTTGTCCTGGGGACTGATAGGAGCGGTTTTTGAACAGAGTTTTTGAACAATAGGGAACACATTCCGATTGAACATCTTTGAGCATTGGGAACCCTATCCTCTTCAACACAGAGTCTCACATGTGTTCGGACTGTCTGGCAAGCTTTCTTCTTGTACCTTTGATTCAAGCGAAGCAACAATAAACCATCAGTGTTTGGCAGACTTGTATACACACCACACGAATAACAGGGGTTCAAAGGCTTCAGAAATGAATACCAACATATTATTGATGGCTAGTCGGGTTTCATTTTTAAAGCCTTTCAGCAATACTAAGCCTTTAACGCATCAATCTTCTTCACAGTTTCCTCTTCAAAGACTGGGGCTTTTTCAACAGCCTCCTTACCACCACCGTTTTTCTTTGCTGCCAGCACAGTCACCGGAAGTACCTGAAACAAAACTTCTCTTGAAGTATCCCAATTCAATTCAGAGATATTGAACACAATCAATGTCATCGAAGTTAGTAAACCAGCCTGCATGTGTGCTGTTGGGTTTTCTTCAGCCTCAGCCTCCTGTTCCTCTGCCTCTAGGCTCTCAGCTTCTGCGTCCTGCAGACCTTCTCCAGCCTGGCAGGTATGTTTGATTCAGCCGCAGCGGGGCATCGCGATCATCAAAAGTTGCAACCCTGAAAACGAAAATCATGGGTTTATAATTTCACACTAATGCGAAATCAACTGATCATCGTTATGTCAATGAATGAGTAACCTGCAAACAAATACAATCGTGCCTCTTTTTTCCTGGCTTTTTCTTCCTTTTGGTGTTGCCTTACAAATGAGAGGGGCATTTGAATAAATGACTGGGCAGCACGATATTTTTGATAATAAGACGATAATACGATTTCAACCCCGGCCCCCCAATCAGTTTTTTTAATATGTCGTCATTTTACTAAAATTACTCTATTCTGTTTTCACCCGATCGAAACCTAGCTTTACTAGTCATATGTCCACACCGAACTAGCCAAGTTGCTCCTTGATCGCATCCAGCCGAGTGGTCATTTCTGAGTGGTCTATCCAATCTGGAACCTTCAGTAGCCACCACGAGGGCATTGTGGGACCATGTTTTCCTCAAGTGACAGATATAATATAAAAGTAGAGATTGATGATGATTTAATGAAATATAATTACTTGATCCCCACCATGACATTTATACATTTTGTTACTGGCAAATCTTCTGGCATTCTATCTGACATTTTATCTGGCATTCTATCTGGCATACCTTGTGGCATTCTATCTGGCATATCTTCTGGCATTCTATCTGGCATATCTTCTGGCATTCTACCTGGCATATCTTCTGGCATATGTTCTGGCATATCTTCTGGCATTCTTTCTGGCATACTATCTGGCATATCTTCTGGCATATTATCTGGCAAATCTTCTGGCATCCTATCTGGCAAACATTCTGGCACTTTATCTGGCATACCTTCTGACATTCTATCTGGCATATCTTCTGACATTTTTTCGGGCATTCTATTTGGCATAGCTTCTGACATTCTATCTGACATATCTTCTGACATTCTTTCTGGCATATCTTCTGACATTCTTTCTGGCATATCTTCTGACATTCTTTCTGAAGTTCTTTCTGGCATTCTATCTGGCATATCTTCTGACATTCTATCTGACATTCTTCCCGTTGAGGTCCGGCAGTGCCCACTGCGATCTGGAAGTAGTTGAGGTCCGGCAGTGCCCACTGCGATCTGGAAGTCGCGGTTGAGGTCCGGAAGTGCCCACTGGGATCTGAGGCTCACGGTTGAGGTCCGGCAGTGCCCACTGCGACCTGGAAGTCGCGGTTGAGGTCCGGCAGTGCCCACTGGGATCTGGAGTCCGGCTGTGCCCACTGGGATCTGGACTGCGAGGAGGAGGCGGGGGTGGAGGCGGAGGATGCGGAGGCGGAGGAGGAGAACAGCTCTGATAAAATCTAACAACCCTCACTTGGCAGGTGGGGAATAAGCAGTCCTTAGTGTCATAAACTAAGATGGTGGAGTTCTAGTCCACTTGGGGATAAGACTCTGAAGGTATTAATTTCAGCCACGGAGCGGGCTTCCTGTGTCGAATCAAGTTCCGGAACGTGGACTGGAACGTGCTGCTGAAGATGCAGTCCTGGCACAACTACCCACCAGGTTGAGCCCTTGGGGTGCAAAAAGCACTGGGTGAACAGCTGCGCGGATCCCAATTCAAGGGAGAACAGGACTACAACCCCTCACTAAGGGAGCTCGAAGAGAAGAGGAATCGGGACTTCACCCCTTCCACTGCTGAGAAGCCTCCAGGAAGTTCCAAAACATCTCCGCTGATTTTGGCCATCCTGTAGATGAATTGGAGGGACACCACAAAAAATGGATTTGATTTATTTAAGATCAGTTTTATAAAATTGAATGGCTGGCCTGCACGCCAAGTCAGATCAACATTCTCTTCCCCTGCTTTTCCACACATCCTAAGTTGCTGGATGTTTTCCGGATGTACCCATTGAATTTACAGATTCTGCTATTATCAGACTGAGCCCGCAGCTCACGATAGGTGCAATGCAAATGCGAGAAATCTTTGATCTTGGTGTTGACCGACTGATCCCATCCAAAATTCCTTGGTTATTCAAAGCTAAGGTTAAGAATTGATTGGTCTACAAAAGTTGCTCTCATTATTGATTTCCAATCCAACTTATATTCAACCGCCGAGTTGCGGCAACACTTTGAGAATTAGATAGTCACGGAGGTCCATCTGGCCCACAAAGAGATCCACGGTACCCTTACCATTCAAGCCATCTTTCAAGCCGCGCCAGGTGAGAAGGTCTTGGGAAAGGTAGTTGTTCTGCCAGCCATCGTACCTTGGTATCTCAACAGGCCCGGCCTTCCACCCGCTTGGGCTAAACTACCACTTTTGTAGAAATGATTTCAGGTCATCGCAAAACAAGTAAATTAGATTTGTTTCTGTATTTGGTTCTTGGAAATTTTGAGTTGAAGAATTCAGCCATGAAACAACGCATGAAAGGACCACTCAATGTTTTTGGCAGTCTTCGACTTCTGCACTAATATCTGCAACTTAGCCCAGCTGTCGAAAGGATTCCCCTTCACTTCATCCGACTCCAGAAGTAACTGGAGCAATGAGGGGTTGCTGAGAACCCTTTTGTGAAGCGTTATGGAGGTGTCAACGAACGCCTCTGTGACCTCAAAGCAGGGGCGCCCGGAATCGCCCGGAGTTTCAAGGGAGGACAATGATGTGACAACCAATGGGCAATAGGTAAATCTAAGTCAAGGGACTTTGTCGTCATCTGTTGCCGGATTGTAGTTCTCCATGTACTTCCTTGCAAAAGGATTCCACGCCTTATTATTATTAATTGATTTATCAACGATCTACCCAAACTCCATACCCCAATGCCAAATGATGGTTTAAGGTTACATCATGAAAAACACCCATGCCGATAAGTTGCTCAACGTTCCCAGTACCTTCTCCATCCTTGATTTGCAGTTGAGCACCGAGAAGATGCGCTGTAGAGTTGTATGTGTCATTGCCTCCTGAGGGTGGCAGTAAATTATGGATTAATTGGCTATCTTCATTTGATGGGGGAGATACCTCGTGACCATTGTCCTTTCAATTCACTTCCCCCAAACACCCACGTATCGAAGGTCCTTGTTCGATTTCAAATCCTGTCGTTCATTGGCGCTCAGAAAGTAGATCTGATCTTCGGAGTTCGCCACAATGTACTGCACATTCACCTGGGGATGCAATAACAAGATGACACATGATGACCCCTATTTGAGACTATGTTGTTTAATAACATAACTTATCATGATGACCCCTATTTGAGACTATGTTGAATAACATAACTTATTTCTCAACCACCCCAAATCGAAATCCAGTCAAGAAACTGACAGCAAGTGTCGTTTCCACTCCAGCACTTTCTCTTCGTCATCAATGTCTCGGAACATTGACCTGCCAGAGAAGAACGAAACAAGTATGATAATAAGCTAAACTTGTTTATGATGGTGTTGAGACGGAACCCCAGCAAATCATGGTTCAAACTAATGTATCCAAGCTACAATAAAAACGCCAAGGTGTTTTCTGGCGGTGAGATGGGTTTGGCACGGGACTTGGAGCAACTATGCTGCATCCAGTCTGGGGGGACACACACCTTGAGCGTCCCATGGTAGGGATTCGGCTCCTTGTAGTACCTTTCACCGAGGTCATTTATCGATGATTGTCGAATGGGCACCTTAGAAACAACATGACAATGTTCAACCGGGACTATGATGTTCAAGGGTGAAGATGCTGTTGGTGAATCCCGCTTCATCAAAACATTTGGAAGTCTAAGGGTATGACGGATGGGTCTGGGTTGAACAAAATGTCCATCAAAAAAATTGACTGGCTGCAACGGTAGCTCGCAGCCCCACTGCCACCACCGGCAAAAAGAGTGGCATTGCATAGGGTCGCATCAAAGGCAGCCTCAAGTTTCCAAAATGTGAGTTTCATGTTTATTTTGAAGTTGTCATTGATGGTTTCAAAAGAATCATTGGGAACCTGCACTTGTTAACTAAGTAGTGCACATCACAGACCATTCCAGTAACCAACCATTTGGGGATTAGGTTGAAGAATGATACCCAATAATAATCATTGACTTGGGATGGTTAACTGGCAGCACCTTTTTTTTAATCACCATCATGTGGTTTAAGCATCATGTGAGATCAAATGGACATGATAACCTTTAATTAATTTATTAGGAGATTATGTAACGAATATCAAATCAAAGAAGGGATGATACCATGATAACATCATTAAGATTTTACCCTGAATTTTCGTGCAAGCAACTTGCTGACCACCTTTTCCCAGGCCAAGGGCGCTGTCGGTGTCAAGGCCCGGAAACAAGGTCAAGATCTTGTCCAGCGCCTCTTGGGCCGCAGCTACAAGTTCCGCATTCTGGGTGGCACCTGAAGGGAGCTTGGTGATGAATTGGATGAAACAACAAACATGGACCAATCAACCTTATTATTATGTTGGGGTGACGGATTAAAAAAAATGTTTCAGCATCAAAGACCTGAAGAAGTCAAGACATCGCTGTTCTCTTGGTCCAGCAACGGTGAAAACGGTTTGCTATCAACATCGCTGCTGCGCTGCTTCTTTCTAGCCCGGTGTGACGCCATGGCCACTGGTTCTGACACGGGTGCCACCTTACCAACTTCCAAAATAAACACTACTCTAATATCAATTAACCGATGGTTTTAATGTCCCATTTCAGTCAAGTTGGCACCCAATGGCACCCCCATTTCCTACAGCTTGCCTTGGATCCAAACAGCAACATCAAAAAAAGTAAAAATTCAAAATTTTGTCATTTTGAACAAGTGCATTTAAGATAATCACTGCTCTAAGAGGGGGGCCTGGGATACCCTCTCCTTACATCACTCCGGAGCGCTCCCGACCGCTCTAAGCCCTACCCAGCCGTTCATTGGAGGCAGTTTTTTGGACCGCTCTAAGCCTAAATGAATTTTTCCCCTACGCTTTTAAGATAGTCAAGGGTAGGCTTACATCACTCCGGAGCGCTCCCGACTGATCTAAGGAGGGGGCCTGGGAGACCCTCTCCTTAGAGCAGTGATTATCTTAAATGCACTTTGACTGATTTGTATTCTTTTAATTTTCACTATTTTTGCTTTCATCAGTCCCAGGCTTTCTCCCTCCCAATGATCACCTTTTGGGCTCACCCAGGAACAGGGAAAAGCACAGCTTTGGAAAGGATTTGATTCAATGAGTTTTGTTCAACCAATTTTGGTTTGGGTTTGAATTGGTAATACCCCCCAGAATCCAAAATCACCTTTTTCGACTTGCCTGATGACATCCCCTTCAAGCACCCCAGCAACGAAACATCGGTCTACTACCATCTACTTCTAAGAAGTATTGAATTGCGTCCTCTGCGGTCATCTTCAACAAGACTGTCTTCAGATCCTAAGTTCTGTCAACTTGCGAAATGCAGGATTTATAGATGGATATTTCAAGAGTTGATTTAAATTAAGATGATCGGATGGTTTTACTTTCAACCCATCATAAGAATTTTGTTGGCCACACTGGGTAGAAGTAAAGCCCCTTAGGCACCCATCAACCTCACTCCGGAAAACCAAGTTTCGGCGTCCGAGGTCTGCTCTCTTCGGGTCACAAATGCGATGGCCGTTTTCTGGTGAGATGAGAAGCGCCTCAGCCGATCCTTGGCTTGTCCAAGCCGGGAAATAGCCGGGGATTTCCAGGGGGTATGGAAGTAAGCATTTTAATCTTGATTTAATGGCATTTATTATGTTTGGCTAATTCATAACAGAGTCCAGAATTGTATAACGATTCCTTTGAAATGGGGTCCTCATTTCATCTTGGGTTCGCGCTTTTTTTTGATGAAAAAAATGTACAGGGGCCCGCTCGCGAACCCAAGATGTCATGAGGACCCTTTTCATGTCGAAGACCGCTTTCAACCAAAATCTTGTTTAAGTGCAACCATTTTTCCAAGAATTTCTCTTTGGATTTTTCATAAATCCAGGGTGGCGACGGTGCGGCCTGAATTGCCATTGCAGCTCGTGGGTGTTGCTGCTCAAACGAGGGAGAAATCCAGCAAAGTCTTCTTGTCCATTTGGAAGCCGGCCTGCGGCCAGTGCCATTGATTGAGGTTCCTGACCCCCCAAACACTCCTAAATACTGGTCGGTCTTAGTGCAGTTTAGAAACTTGTAAGGGACAAGGAGGCCTGTCCTCCCACTTGATTTGAAATACTTGTGGGACGCAACGTACCTTAGTTTGGAATAGCTATGAAGGAGGCAATGACCCAATTTCGGGTTTCTAATCAGCACCCTGCATGTGAAAAAACAATGATTAAATATAATAATCATAATAATACTTACCTGCATGTGAAAAAACAATGATTAAATATAACAATCATAATAATACTAAGTATTATTATTATTATGATTATTATATTTAATCATTTTTTTTTCACATGCGACTATTAATGGTAATTTATCCAAGGCACACCCCAGTTAAAAACGCCGCGCAGGAAGCTGAGACGGACGGTTTTAACGGGTCTTTCTGCACAATGACATTCATCTCAGACCTTAAATGTGGTTTGATCATCTTTGAGAATTGGACAAAACAGGTCGATAACAAATTTGGTTCATATTCACACTGCCCTGCTGATGATTGACATGGGTATTTCTCAACATCAGGGATGCTCGAAAATACCTGTAAAGTAAATGGATCGACTATTTTCGAGCATCATTCATGTTGAGAAATACCTGCCTAATTAAATTAAGGCAAGAAACATCCGGGTGACAAGTTTGGCCCCTGTCCTTCTTATGGAATCTCGCACTTGGCCATCACCAGGATTCAAAACTTTCATGTCTTTGAACAAAGGGAGGGATTCTTTGGGTCCTAAGAGGCATTGCCATTGAACGAATTACACCACCACAGGTCCCAAGCATCCAATTTTCAATCATTGCGCTGGATTCTAGGACCGCCACCTTCAACTGCGTTGTCACCTGAGGCCCGGCGGGCTTGACTGGACGGGTCTTTTGCATGGTTTGTCTGTCATTTGGTCATTTGTGATATATTGACAAGTTACGATCATTGACGCTTTTGATGTAAGCTTTACGTCTTTTGGATGCTTGTTCCTCTGACTCAGCCAGATCTTTCGCCAAACGCTTCTTGTTCTTGAAGGGAACCCCATTCTTGAAGGCTTCAAGACCTAAGTTTATTAAGCAATCCAAATTTAGCAAAGAAGCATTATTGGGTTGAATTGAACTGACTTGAATTGAAGGGGTATTCCACGGTTCCATGTAAGACCCAGTCTAGCTTGCTAGGCAAAAACCCAAAATTGTGCTTGGTCAAAACCAAACAACGTCGTGCGTGCTGCTTGTCCCTCATGAACTTTTGTTCCTTTGTGTGGCCAGCACCCCACAACCTCTGAGCGACCTTTGATATCCTGGTTTGCACTTCCTTGGATGTCACCCCATCATTCTCACCATCAACTGCTTCTCTGACTGCCTGCCTCCTATAGCGCAGCCACTGCGCAGCTGAACTCCACTTGCGTTGCTTGGTCCCTTGCAGGCCCCTTCGTCGATATGCCAGTCGTTTCGTGGACTCAGTTTCGTGGACTCAGTTTCGTGGACTGTGTCATGGGGGAATAGCCCAGTGAATTGTGTTATATGAACTTGATAGGAGGAACAATCCAACAATAACAACAGTGAATTTGATTCAGGGGTTGTAAACTGGGAGCTATGTTTTTTCTTGTGATTTGTTCCCATCAATGTTTTTGTCAAGGCACTGCGCGTTCATTGCCATAGCAACTGGCCTTGGCTTTCAGGAATCCCTGTAGAACTATGATATTATGACAGGAAGAATACATGTTATTTATCAGGATCAAAAATCCAGTGGGCTGTTGTAACAATAGTGAATATCCTGTTATTAGTTTTCAAGTTTTGGTGGGGTGAAGAAGAACAAGTCAGGAGCTATCTTCTTGTGTAGATTTGATATCATATGAACTATTGTGTTGTTTGTTGTTCACGCCTTGAATGCAGGAAAGTTGCCCACTCCGTTTGTGCGAGCTGGATCAACCTTATTGAGAGGTGGTTTGCCAGCATGCCGTTCTTATGGTAACTTAGAAAGTAAATGGGCCAACGACGATCATAGATTAACCAAGGTTATTTATGTCAGATAAGTAGCTCGTCATGCAGCTTTTGCGGCATGTGACATGCCCTGAGTTCGTCGTTGGCCAGCATCTCTGTGCATTCTCGGCGACATTTGATCCAGCCGCCAGAGCTGAATGTTCCTCTAGTGGGGCTTGGTCATGAGGCATGTGGTAAAACCACTGCAGTTAAGGCCGTTTACTTACCAGTTTTAAACGAATTAGTTTTTATAATAATTGGGTTGAATCCATATAATAATAAGTGAAGGGCCATAACTGTGGCTATCATTGTTTTATTAGATCCCGATAAAAACATACGTTATACTAAATTTACACCAACTGATCTTATTAAGTTGGGTCCGGAATAGTGGTGTCATCAGTGCTATTGTTTTTTGGTATTGTGTTCATTATTACATCAATAATTAATTATCAACAGAATCGAACAATTCTAAATGATAATGATCAGTTCTATTTACATGTCAGCTAAGCTTCTCTCAACCCCGGACGTGCCAAACTGCCACGCAATGCACCGCAGTACAATGTAACGTAGCAATGGGCAAGGTAGTTTGTACCGTTCTTCTCTCTTCACCTTACAGCAAGTGGGCCCTGGATCATAAGTGGACTTAATTGTGGTTCTGGCAATTCTGTTCATCAGTTCTAACATTGGCGGGTTTCCCATGAAAATATAAGTCCAAGCCACTGCAGCGGCCCAAGACTCAAGAGGTGCCAGTTTGTCTCGCCTTGCAAACCCCTCTGCCAAGGGTCGCACACGACCAACCTCCAGAATGAGCTCGTCCTCAGTCAGAGCGGTTTGGCAGCCCAGATGATTCATTAGTGGGATGGAAATCACTAAAGGGCAACAAAATAACAATAGTAAGTAAATATAAGGTGAAAAAAATACCCCAATTTAATTCGAGTCTCAGGGTTGAAGCCAAATGCAAAAGCAAGCCGCTCTACAGTTTCATCCCCCTTTTCATTAGCTTTGACGGCAGTCAAGAAGGAGGCAACAGTATGGAGCATCTCGAAATGGGGTACTTCTGCATCAACACTGGAGCGAGCCAATTTCACCCAGTTTGAAAGCCTCGGGGGAAAACGATTTAGCATCTGATGTAGTAATTGGCGATAACAATCTCAAGACTATGTTTTTCTGAACTACTCTTTTGACTTTTGACCTTTAATCATCCCTGGGTAGATAGAACATGGAAGCTTCCAAACCCTTACGAAATTCAAAAATGGGATCTAATATTATTCTTTCTACTCAGGCTAAACCATTGGCATGTTTATTGAACGCAAGGCCTTCCCAAGACTTCGTCTAGGACCCGTTGTGGTACCTGCGCGCCCCCAATCTTTTTGATGCACGTAGTTCCTCCAAGTTTCTTGATCTTGATCATAAGGGGGTCTGCTTGCAACCGTCTCCTGAATATCACCAGAGCCCTTTCGGGCTCCCCAAATAAACCATGAACTGATAAAGTTGATTTGGTTTTGCAGTCCCA